TACATACATATTTATACATAGTTATAAACTTGAAGTAACAGAACGCCCTAGATTGTTTGGTGGGGACTGGTGGTGTGACCTAAAATACACCATAGTATATGACGTGAATGACTCCCAAACCTCTCTCAGAACTACTTTATAAAATCAAATAAAATACATTTTAAATTAAATATTTTATTCACAGACGACAGGATGAGAGAAAAAATGGAAAGATATTTCTTGAATAGAAATTTTGAAGCTGGAAACATTGTTCTATGTTGAAAGGTATCAGATAATTAGGGGTATGAGCTAGGCGCTAGCAGCTCCTAGTACAGCTATATCTCCTCTATCATGAAAAAACTCCGTGCCCACCACTATTTTTTTATGCTAATTATCTTTGCTAATACGCATCAGAAAAATTTGGTACTTTTTGTGTTTTTATTGTTATAAACTAAAATTCATTAATGAATAAATTTAGAAAATTCATGCAAGTATCCAATTGTCCGACGGTCATAAAAAGACTGAAATAGTAAAAAAACTATTTTTATTTCAAGCCAACATTTTGAGCCTACTTTGCAGTTCTTACTCAATAATATACAACGGTCAACCATCAAGTATTCAATAGAAATGTAATAGTAATTTTATAGCCCATGGTACAGACCCCTTGTAATCAAATTATTAACATCTGCTTAAAACTTCTTGAGTAACTTATTACTTATTACTCTTATGGTAAACTACAACTTTTTTACTCACGAAAATTCTCAGAATTGAGACATTTTCAATCTGGAGATTGGCAAACTTTGTCTATTTAATTAGGTGCTAAAAACTCATGAACGCTTATTTTCTTCACACTTCAAATGTAAGATAATTCTATCACAAAATCGGGAATAAAGGCGGCTTACAAAAATATTGAGCAGTTTGGTGTGATCTCCAGGGTGGAGTTTTGTGAGTTTTGGGGGTCAACACGTCAATATAACGAGATTATATTGTCAAATGACCCAATATTTATGTGGGCCACCTTATTTTTTTTTCCGATTTTTTGATCAAATGATCTTATTCAACTGGAAGCAAATGGATATTTATGAGTTTTAAACAAAATTGTAGGTTACATTAACATGGTTGAGAAAAATGTGCCCATATCAGACTATTGCTAGTAAATAGATAACTATACCAATATTTATCAATGGCATGTACATGCTATGAGAAATGCATTCACAACATCTCTCCTCATATCATTTTAACAATTTTTAACTTATCGCATTTGAAATTCAGTTTTTAAGATATGAAAAAATTTAATAAAAAACTAAGCATCGATTTAACATTTCAAAAGCTAAACATAATCAAAAAACTGTGTATGACTCCTAGCTTAAATAGCTCATATTTTTAGATGGTTAGTACTGCTATTTATTTTAGCTAAAATTTATAAACAAACTAATAAATTAAATATGATACTGTATTATACAGAATACAAGACGTCTTTGAATTTAAAATGAAGATAAAAATAGTTTTATCATTGGTACAGAAAGGAAATTGATGAATAATATGAAGAAATATTGGAAACTGTGATTATCGAAAATCAATAATTTCACTTATCATTATTTTGTAGTTATTAAAGGAATCCAAAAAAAATAAAAATACATAAAAGCTCATAACAATAACAAAAAGCACCTTTTTTTAAAATTTGATTCATTGAGTAAGCGATGATATATAAATTTTGTTATCTGAACGTTTTTCATAAATATTAATAATTAACTTCTGTTGTGGACATTTACTTGGTATTATTTAATAATCTGTAGAGATAAATTAGATTAATACAAATTTTAAACTTCAAATTTAAGATTCAATCAAATTATTGACGGATTCTGTTAAAGATTAAATTTTATGAAAAAAAAAGAAGTGGATTTTAAATTAAATGCAATACGGTATTCACATAGGACATAAAATTATACAGAAAAAAATTACAAAAATGATGAAGTCATATCAAGAAGACTCTGACAAATATATAATAAAATTTATTATCAAGATTTATCATAAAAATAATAATGATGATAAATGATTTTAATATAAATTGGTATTATAATACTTCTCAATTCATTAAGCGAACATAAGAATCAGAAAAAAGAAACTAACAGGATTTAAGCAAAAAAACAGATTTAAGCACCATATAAAAGGGAATTTCATATTCCCGATAAAGAGAGAATTTGAGTAAAAGTATACTGTAATAGATTATGTTATAACTATAGTGCTAGGAAAATAAGATGTAAGATGTAACTACATTTTTATCATTATTATTATTTTAATTAACACCCTTCAGAGATAAAATAATATAAATCAATGAGATATCATTCAATTATCACAAATTAATAATAAAATAAGTTTATATAAAACTGAATTGTCTAAGAAAGGATAGTTCATTGTAAAACTGGTCCCCCTTAAATGGGCCTCAATTTTTTCCCCTCAGCACACCTATGTATCCCCACTACTACTTTCTACCCAGGGCGGGGGAACTCCTCAATCAGCCTTTCTCTGTAATATTCCATTACACCCAGCCAGATGCAAGCTCCTTGCTTAAAAGGCGATATATCATAAAAAAAGAAAATTTGATGGAATGGATCATATAACAAAACAATCCTAAAATAACTTTATTTTAAATAATGTCAATTTTTTTTTGTAATTAAGATACTCTTTAAAGGTAAAAAGAATCTTACCTAAGCCATTGTGAAAATTAATAAATTATTAAAATGTTTAATGTATAATAAAATAAACTATCAAAACATTAATTCATGTTTATAAATAAACTAGGAGGTTATTTTTTTATTCAATGGCTTTGCTTTTTGTTTTGTTCTTAAAAATTATTTCTGACAGTTCCATTCCATATGTAAATCTAAGCAATTTGTAAAACCATTTACATAGATAGTATATTCATTAATTACAAAAACTTTAATTTTTCAAATATTATGGATTATAAATGATCATATATCATAATAGTAGTTAATAACAAGAAATGATTTGAATTTAAACCTTAAAAGAACGCAATTTACCAATTTACTAATTGATGCGGTAAAATATTAAAGAATACACATATTTATATGAATTTCAGAACAATCATTCGCTGAGAAAAGATCTGTTACATGAACAAACAGATATTGTATTGAGTATATTAGAGCATCATTACAAAATAAATTAATAATTTGAAGTTTAAAAAATAAAACAAGCAACAATGATTATTAAAAAGACAAAACATTAAATATAGAAATATCATTAATATAACCTTAAAATAATATTAATACAATTATAAAAGGAAAAGATGAATTTAATTACTTGTGATTCATAACGCAGGTTGAATAATCCTTCATTAGTGGTGGGCATATCTTTTAAAACGACATCTTCTGAGACAGTATGTTCTTTCGTCATATGTTTCATTGATTCCAAAATTGTGAGAATGTCTTTTCTCGTTGTTGAACGAGAGGATAATGTTTTTGATTTACGACATTTGGCATACCACGTGTGGTCACAGTGCTGAAATAAAAAACAAAATTGAATTTGTAAATGGCTTATTATTTGATAAATATGAGATCAAAATAAATCATATAAGAAATTAAATTACCTCATGATTTTGAAATAATTCTTCAAATTTTCCTAGGCAATATCCCCTTTTGTGGGTCATAAAATTGGCAAGGCTTCTGAATAGGTTTTTGCATATTTTACACTCAAAAATCAAAGAACATTCTTTTGTTAACAACTCTATAATCTAAAAACAATAATTAATTGAGTTTAAAATGATGGATATAAAAGTAGTTTAATAACAAAAGTGAAGAACATAACCTATTCGATAAGATTTTATATTAAAAAAGATATGAGTTAAAAGAAACAATAATAGCGAAATCCCTTGAAACATATTGATTAAAACCATTATTATAGTAAAAACAGTCATCAAGATTGTTTAAAAATAATAAAAATAGAAATACAAACCTCAGGCGTGGCTATTCTAAACACCTTCAGAACTTGATCTATACTGGATAAATTTGTGTCAATAGATTTCATTAAAAGTGCGATGTCATTTTTCAATGATTCTTGCTTTGTTTTAGGTTCACTACTCGGTTTTTTATCAGGTAATTTTATAGTACGCTGTGGTCTTGGAGAAGGTTTACTACTAGGGGGAGGTCTGGGTCTCATCCTTAACTAATTAGAAAATAACAATTACATACAAACCTAATATAACATTTAATATATTGATAAAGTAAATAAATTTGAATACCTATAAGAAGATTACCAAGGAAATAAGCATGAAGAATAAACCTGAAACAAAGCCAGGTGTAAGCCTTTTACATCTTGTTAGTACATTAAATAACATTTTAAAACTTTATAATACATTACTTATAATGCTACAAAAATATATTGTCTAAAAAAATCATCTAATGAATAATTTTCAAGCCAGAAACACATAAACATGTGGTGAAAGAATTGAGAAGGAGGCTCATACACCTCCCTCAGAAAAAAGCTTTCTATCAAATATTAATAAATCTCCTTGCATAATTCACTTTCCAAACACTTTAAATACACTAATATTTGAGAGAAAGAAGAAAATGGGTTTTATAAAGCACATCCACAAGCAAGAATGCCCTCTTTCTATTCAGAGGTCACTTTTCTAACACCCTGGACAAGCCAGTATTTAGTATTCTTCCTAGGGGTCTATCATATTTTAAACAACGGAAACATATTTAGTTACTAAAAGTAAAGGTATTTGACAAGTTTTTAACTCACTATGGAATCTAAAACCCGTAGCATCAGTCACAATTCGGGGGAGTATCGTTCAAATCTACATAACTATATTCCACCATAATCTCAGGGAACAAACGCTACTAGTTCAAGCAACGACCACCACCAGTTCGGTTTTAGCAGCACCTGTTGGGTTGCTGTGTGTTGTGTTTATTTTGTTAAATTATCCTACTCACTTTTAAACGAGTTTGAAATAACTATTATATTTTGTCAGATTGATTCCAGTAACAAAACTATGAAAGATGAATCAACATAGTCTTAAATTTATAGTTAAGGTATTTTAATAAATCATTTAACTGAAAGGTTAAGCAAGCTTTATTATAAAATCAAGAGATCTTATTTTTATCTTGAATAATTTCATTTAACAATCACGCCTTTATCAAAATTTAGCGTCGGAAAAATTTCTTATTTTATTTAAATTAAAAAATTGCGTCTTTTAAGTCGTATTTACCGTTTCTTGTATTTTTAATTGTCAAGAAACTGAAATAAAAGAATTAGAGATTTGCTGAATTCTTTATTATGAATGATTTAGTTCTCAAGTTGGACTTGATAATTGCACTTATTGTATAGTGATAAACTTATTGCATGACTCTCACTTAAATACTCAATAATAAAGTCAGCTTGTTTTATGTGTTATTTCTATTGTCTTGTTTTCATCTAAACTAACTTTAATACTGACAGTATTGATAACATTTTATTTTTTATTCAAGGCTGTTTGTTTGTACGATATTGTGTAATGTTTCATTAAATAGATTGACCATCTTGTACATAAAATATTGTAACTCTTTGAAATGAAACCGTATCTGTTTTAAGATGTCAAGGAGTGTACATCTAAGGAATTTGTATAGACCAACGGTGTTAGCATTACCAATTCATAAGACTGAATTATCAACGTCGTGTATAAACAATAAGAATTTCCTTACGGGATCAGACAGTTATGGATACAAAAAGCCATCGATTGTGGAAAACATTACTGATAAAGTCAAATTCTATTTTCGGAAGCATGTAAGTTGTTAATTTTTTTTCTTTTGACTCCACGTTGTACTCTAATATTTTATCTTTATTTAATTTTATTTATAGAAACTACTAGCTGCAGGCTACTGTCTGTACGAGCGTGTTGCTGATGATGTAGACTACACTTCTTTTATTAAGGGTACTACAAGATTTTATGATTGTTCAGTTCAAATATAATTTACAAACTATAAATTTGCCGATTTTAATTTTTCTTAATTGAATTACTCTAGGAAACCAGTGACTCCTTATTGAATTTGATATTACTAGTTATGAATTGAGAGTAGTAGTAAGGGTAGCAAAGAGGTAGGGATGGGATCAATAAGCTTTATACTGTCCTTCAACCTGCTATCTCCCTCTCTACTGTTTCACAACAGTTCCCTCTAACATGATAATATCCTCAAGAATAAGTCATGTGCCTTGCTTATGAAATTGTTTCCAAAGAATTTAATATAATAATTCACTTAATTTTAATATTATAAAGAATATTGTAAAACATAAATAGCAATAATAAATTTTGTTGTTTCAATCAGTTCAATGAATTATAGGAGTAATATGAAATATTTTCTTCTTTATTTCATTAGTTCGCTATTAGTATATGCTCTGAAATTATTAGTAAATTATATAGTATTGAAGTTATAATTACCTTCGACATTGACTAACAATAACTGGTGTAGCACCTACCAATGATTGGTGTATATACAAGTATTAAATAGTTATAAAGTAGCATATGATCCCTAAATCTGTACATTCAAAATGGAGGTTAATCAACTTTGTCTTAGTTTTTTCATTTTTTAAAACAATATCAAGTTAATAATTGATAATTTATTGCATTAATAATAATAACTTTAAAAACTACTTTGATGCAAATTATATCGGCAATAAACATGTAAATTATAGTTAATTCAGAATATTTGTAAATAAACTTTGTTACCATGTTCCTATTAATGTATGTTTTATTCTAGTTTTTAAAAATACCTTGTCAAAAAACTAGGTGATCTATAAAAATGCTAAATTACTTTATTGAATAAAACCAAAGGGGGTTTGGTTATTTCTATTTATATTTGTCTATTGCAATATTTACTTTATTACATTGCAAACACTTATGTTGTTTTTTAGTATCATTGTTTTAATAACAAACAACTGTGAGGACAAGGTTTAAGAATTGAATATTATGATTCCATCTATATTGATACTTATCCCCTTACACCATGTAAATAATTGTAATAATTGATCCCACATGCCCAAAACAATTCCTGTCCATCTGCTTCACTTTTGATTAATGTTGTTAGTCATTTACCAATGAATAAGCAGTTTTATCATTAATTGGTAGACAATGTAAATATGCATGCAGTGACCATAGCAATCTTTAAATAGATTGCTTGGCTCGTAAAATGTTTGTAATATATATTTTTAGCTGCCTTGTAGATTTTAAAGGCTGAATTATTTTGTAATATAAGTAATGAAATTTGTTTTTTGTTAGTCAATCATATTTGTTTTTTCTATAATCACAAATTAACTCTTAGTATCCATTTTTTTTTAAAATAATTTTTCTGTAGAAAGTTATTCTCTCACATTGATATTTCCCATAGTATTAATAATCGAATCAAAGCTGAAATTTAAATGATCAAAAATATATTAATTTAGCTAATTGCTGATAATTCATCTCTTAAAATTCCATATTTTAATTAGAGTATTGTGTTAATTGCTAATGTATGTAATGTCAGAATAATTCTTAGATTAAATATTTGTCTTCTCCTAATTTAATGATACTACCTAAACGTTTAATAGTCTGCCATTTTATTTTTTAATGCTTAATCTATTTATTGTTTTCAAATTGTATTGTTATATTCCCCCTCTCCCTCTTTATTCTCTATTTATTTTTGTGTACATGAAGTTAATCCTGATGTATAATATTTCTATTAATAATTAATTGTTTATTTTAATTTCAATATTTTTATATTTTATTTACAATATTCGTTTATGTTATTGGGATATATTTTTATTAATAATGAAATATATCTTGGAACAGCATGAAGTGCTTACTCTTATTTTTACTTCTTGCATTTTTTCAGTATGTTTGGTTTTATATTGTATTCAGTTATAATTTAGGAAGAGAAAAATGTTTCTATTATAATATCATGACGATATTTCTTATAATAGTGTTCTTATTTGTAGTAGACATACTTTAAAAAAAAAAGTAAAGAAAATAAATATTTTAATAGTGACAAAAAATAAACTTTATGTCAGCTGATTTAGATTCCTCTGCTGAGGGAACGGTTTAAATCCTAGCTTAGCCCACTAAATTTTCTCTGAATGAAAAATTCAGTATAAGCTTTATGGGGATGGATATAGTGGTTTAATAAACATTTCTAGAGTCCTTATTGTTGATTTATTGCAAAAAGTTTCTTAGTGTATTTTTAATATTGGTTAACTTTCAAATATGTTGTTAATGTTGGCCTTATTTATGTAAACACAAACACCACAAATATATGAAAGTGACACAAAACATTTTATTTATCATATATAGTTACGCTAAGTGGGGCCGAGTGAGTTAAGGTAGTAGTCGAGTGAGTTAAGGTGACTGCAAACAATTTAAGCTACGAGTTTAAATCTAGTTCACGGGATTTAAAAAAAAAAAAAAAAGCGATAAAAAATAATAAATTAAAAGAAATAAATGCAGTCCCTACTCGATTGCTTATACCACTACAGCGTTGGTTTGATTCTCGTATGGGGACATTGACGTCCCCACCCTAAGATTCACAGAAAGGCGAGCGACTCCTGTGTCTTCGAACAATACAGCTTCTGATCCTCCAGATTGGAGGTTGAGGACAGGGCCATTAATTAACCCTATCCTGTAAAAAATAACAGGATGGACAAGTCTGCAAAAAGGTTGCCAACCATCCTTATGAAGAGGGAATGATTAGTGATCGCATCTCGTTATTAAAAATCACATGCTCCCTGGATATCTATACGAGTATACGAGAACCAAACGATCAGAGCTGTTGTCTGGCACAGCCCTGTAGCTGCTTTAGGACTAATGACGAGAAAGAGGCGGAAAAAAAAAAAAAGAAGTGCTAAGTGCACTTAATGACTTTTTGCAATAAACCTACTATATACTCTCTTCTTAGAATGGCTACCTTAAAGGCATTTTCTCACTGACTAACAATTATCCTATTCAGCTCCTATATTTCCTGCATATTTATGCCCATGACAAATTGGACATTGGTCCAACATCCAATTTATCGCTTAGTGTGGAAACTTCCTTAGTTCCTAATCAGGTACTCCTTAGAAAGTGCGAATTGCTTAGCCAGGTATCCTGTTTTAACTTTTTGGCCTTTAATAGACTATTGGAGGACTGGTTTTTTATAAAGCGTAGTTACCTTCAAAGTTTAAGTATAACTATTTCATGCTCTGTTTATAGCTAGACCCAACCAATTGGCATTTGGAGGTTGACTTCGTGCAGCATAAGCTTAAAAATAACATTTTGTTTTTTCCCCTTAATCTCCGATATTACTTGCAATTATATATACATCTATTACAAGATATGATTATAATCATATCATATTAATTATAATCTTGTAATGTATGCATATTTTATTGGTTGAACTACAGCCTAGGTTGGAGACCTGTTGTTTAACATGGACCTCATGTGCTGGTTAGAAAACATACATGTGTTGTACCACATAAATAATAATTATTGTTATGTTAACTTCTGAACAAAATTGGAATTTAAATAAAACATTCTATCCTGTTTTGTTTCCAAGATCATTTCAAACAAATATTCATTTAAAGTAAGTTATGTTTTGACCTCTAGACATACAAATTAACTTTTCGTTTGTAGACTAATGGGTGTCCTCATATCGAAGATGAAAATCCGTTCTTTTTAAAAAGTTTCGAAAAAGCCAATTTTGTACGTATAGCTTCAATTTAAACCAATTCTAATGATTTTTTTTCATGATTAAACTTGAACATCCTTAAATAAAATCATTAGAAACTGATTAAGCTGAACCTACAAATCAAACATTAACTTTTTCTCCACTTTCTGAAAATCACAGATGTCCATCATGTGAGGCAACTTAAATAATGTTTAAAATTTGTCGACTTCTTTAATTTTAAAATTCATTTTAGTTACATCAGTTTTATTAAGATTTTAAACGTCTTTTATCTTTTTAGAATTCAATATGCCAGACACATTCAACTCGTGGTTTCTAATTACCGAACTGCATGTATGGATGATTATTGCAAGATTGATGGCAGACCCAAGTTATGGAAGATATCTGAGAAATGTTGTTGTTGAAGCTTTATGGAAGGACGTTATCACAAGGTGTAAAAAATTAGAGGTATTTTTTTATATCATTTATCTGTTTACTATTTATTTTGAAGTTTGAATTGTAAAACTTACAAATCCTAGAAATCATAGATTTTTTTTTGCTGATGTGGACCAAATTTCTTTTGAGCAAATAATAATGAGAAATACTTTATTAAATATACAAAAACTATAAATTTCAACATACATAAAACATTTATACCACATGATTATTTGTTTACCGGATTGAGCAAATAATTTTTAAACTGCCAAGTCATTTTAAAAACAGCGATAAGTCATCTTAAAAATTGAAAAATATGTTGAGTTGAAGGTAAAAGTGATAAAGTGGTACTTTTTTTGAAGATAAAAAGTTTTTTTTCCTTTAACCTGTTTCTGGACAAAATCTGAGCTTCAGTATTGAAAAAATTGGAAATTATCAACAGTAATAGATAATAATAATAATAATGCTTTATTTATTTTGGGACAAGTCCCTTTAGAATAATGTATAGAAACGGAGATGTGGTCTTTGGAGCCTCAGAGAATAATCCCAAAAAACAGGCAGGATTTAAAGGTGGGGAGAATATTGGAGTGACGAATGTAGGATGGGATAGAATTCCATAGGTATGAGGATCGAATAATGCAAGATCTATCTAAATCAGTGGTTAGACGGGCTCTTGTGGCTGAACGAGCTTACATGTGTGCACAGCACCGCCGTTGTCCGGCAACCTGATATATGAGACAATTGATATAAAATAATCACGAGTTCGTGCCCTGGAGCAGGGGGAGTCTTTTGAATCTCTGACCCGAGAAAACCCTGTGTAGCCTTAAAGGCGAGGAAGGGGAGGGGAGGACACAAAAAAAAAGTTAGGTTGGCTCTTGTATACAAATCTGAGGAGCTCGAAGATTTATGAAGAACTGCGAGATTGGATGACTTGGAAGAGGAAGGATGCTAGGAAATACTTACATCGGTAGGAAGGATAAAGCCATTTCAGATCTTCATAATAGCGGGAAACAGAGGCGTCCCCTGGGGTCCCGAAGATGATTTGTATCAAATATTTTAGTTTCACCTCGAGATTTCCAGAGACAATATACTGTACAACAATAGTCAAATTGGGAAAATATTAACGAAATAATTAAGAGTTTATGGGTTTCAAATGGGAATAGATGGCAGAGGTAATTTAGTCGTTTTATAATGGAAAAGGCACTGCGAGTAATATTGGATACATGGTTTTTCCAGGGAAGGATTTGATTAAAGGTTATGATCGTGGGTTTATTGCCACAAATTATTAAATAACTTTTCATAAAAGTAAATTACTGAGTATTTTGCACTTACTGTAACTATTTTTGGTATATGAAAGAGCAAGGACAATCATTTTAGCGACCTGAAATAGACTTATGTGTTGGCTTGTTTCGATCAAGTAGTTCTGCAAACCAGTATATACCTACACCATAGAGAGAAAGAAGTAATAACATTGTATGCTCTGAAATACTTAAAAGTTTTCTTTAGTGTTAAGCGATCAACCTGAAAAGCTTTCCATAGTTATTTTTTGTTTGTGCGGTTTAAAGGACCATCAAGGAGCAGGTATCTACATAAAAGATAAACCTAGAGAAGGTTTTTCAATACCACTTGGCAGATTTGCTTCAATATTTTAATGTGACACCACCATATGGACCAGCCTCGAAGTTAAACTGGCTGGAACATCCTGGAGGAGCTCAAACTAAGCTGTTTCGGACATTGCTTTGGATAGAGAAAGAAAGAACTGCCAGGAGAAATTACGAGATCTATGTGGAGGGAAGGAGATCACGAGGAAGATATTGCATCTCCTGGGAGGATAGTTTGCGAGAGGCATTCGGAAGATGGGATATAGGTTATAACAGGAGATGAGAGTTGGTCAGAGAGCGAGGTACCTGGTCCAGACTCTACAAACAGTAACTCTACATTGCATAACGATACTTGGGAATAAAGATAATGATGATTTTATTATGAAGTGCTGGGAATGTTTCATTACATCTCTACTCTGCTACATTTAGAGCTGAAGGATCACATTTTTTACCGAGTCAAGCAGAGCAATAGGTGTTCTCATCAATTACTATACCAAATCAAATAAAGATTGTAATGTAGTCATCAACAGTCTTGCCGAACATAGCAAGGTAACTGTTGAATGATCGCCAGGCCATAAGGAGGCAGATAAATTAGCCAGAAAAGGCACAGATATTACACTCATAACCTCTGAACTAGTATCCCGTGCTAAAATCAAACAATGAAGGCATGACAAGGAGCAACTTCAATCATTGACGGCCTGGGCCTGAAGCAGCAATTATTGCTCAAACTGGACAGGGCGGGTATTAGCAAAATTACAGTGGTCTACTTGAGCAAGTGTGGCTTAAGCTTTCACATTCAAGCTCAGGCTGGTACCTTTATGCAGGTTCTGAGGATGAAACAGCTTTTTACTTAATCTGGTGGCGTCACAGGATTGCTAGGCTTAGGCTCAAGCCGTTTGGAGAGTACCATTTGTATCCTGAGGGTTGCTAGTTTGTCAATCCAATACATATATATTAGTCAGTGGTACAGACCCATTTTTATCAATTTATTAATGTCTGCCTAAAACTTCGTGAATAGCTTCATCTTATCGTAACCTATAACTTTTTTATTTACAGAAATTCTCAGAAGTGGGTCATTTTCCCATTAAATTAATTAATTTAACTAGATATTAAGCACTAAAGACTTGTTTTCCACATGAATTGTAAGATAATTTGATCATAAAATTCGAAAAATTAGGCGGCCTACAAAAACATTAGACAGTTTGATACTATTATATATACGAGGTTTTATATATATATATATATATATATATATATATATATATATATATATATATATATATATATAACCTCATTACTTTGACCTGTTGGGTGTGGAGGTAACGTCAGATGTTTCTATATTTTTGTAGGCCACTTTTTTTTCTCGACTTTGTGATAAAATCTTATGATTCAAGTGGAAAGCAAAATGCTTTTCATGAGTTTTTGGTATCTCATTTAATAGATAAAGTTTACTAATCTCCAGATCGAAAACGTCCAATTTCTGAGAATTTTCATACATAAAAAAGTTGTAGGTTAAGATAAGTTTCACAAAGTTTCAGACAAATGTTAATGATCTAATCAAAATGGGTCTGTACCATAGACTGTACATCATCGGCACTACAGCCCTATGCAGACTTAGGCTTCCGGTTGGAAATTTGCCCAATCGCCTCTGTTTAGTGTCATGGTCTATTCTGCAGTCTTTCAGGTATACGATCTTTCCTCATACATTTTAAATTCCTTTCCCAACGAAGTCTGTTTTTCAATTCAATAAGCCTTCTTAAATTTGTGGATGCAATAAATATAATATAATATATAACAGCTCAAGTATGGCTAAAAGGAATGATGAGGGAGTATTGCATTCAATACTCAATATGCCACCAAAACAAGGCCATCAGTGCTTATTGGTTTACTCAGATTTAGATATAATTGTTTATTTATCAAAATCTGACAGTACCCATTCAAAACCAAAAGGCGTCCAACACATATCAAGTGGTGGTTGCATCATTTTTTTTTGTTATTGCTCCTTTTGATTTTCCTCATAAATTGTGAATGTTAATAAATAATTGAATAAATTGTTATTTAGTTAATCAGATGCATTTGCTCCTGTATAATACAAAAATATCTGTGGGTAAAAATGAGAGGCTAATTATTAATAATTTTGTCAATACTGAAGCTAGCTTTGGTTTACGCACAGGTGGATAGTGAAAAACACTATAGTCTAGGCAGCAAAATATTTTTGAGAAGGGTCAATCATGGGGTCTGATTTGCTTATATCGTCAACGCTCGGCCTCCTCCCTTCTCAGCTTATTCAACTGTTTCCGCCCTGATGTTGAAGTGGAATAGGTTTGCTAACTTACGGGAATGAATCTGATAGAAATGGAATGGGTATTTTTTCAAAATAAAGGTATAAATTTAAACTACTATTTTTTTCGTCAATATGATTATTTATATTAGTTCTTATTAAATATTAATCAACAAGCAGGCCTTAAAATGTTTTTAACTTTTTCTTGGTTCTACTTCTTAAATAAATAAGTATCTTATTAATGGCAATCAAAAACTGTAAGTCAGAAGTTATATGTGTAATATATCATTGGAAAGATGAGGATTATAGACAAAAATAATATCAAGTATAAAGTTGTAATGGAGGGTGATGAAAATAATTTTTGCTAATAATTTATGAAAACCAATATTATTTAACAGAAATCAAATGTTGCCATGGAGAATAAATGAAAATTTCTAACTAAATGTAAACTTTTAAAATTGTTTTGAAAAAAAAAGTATATAATCTACCGAATTATGGCAATAGCATTGTTAAAAAAATACTTTATTAAACTGGTGTGAAAGAACCAATCACCTTAAAACTCCCTCATGTGAAAGAAGTGAAATACAAAAATATTTCATGGAGAAGTAAAATATATGTTTATAATCTTAAATACATATACTGTAGTTTCATAACTTTACATCGATATTATATTTAGATAATTAGGTATTTATCGTCGGGTTATTCCAAAAAAATCATAATGTCAATTAGTGAATAATTTGATGATTTCTCTATCTGAGATTTCACAACATTATTTACCTACAATTAGTGAGACAAATTTTGACCTATCGATGATGTATTGAAAAACTTGGAACTGTTTTGTGGTAAATTTTACAATGGGGAAAAAATGAGAATTTAAATAGATCTAAAAAGTTATAAAGATTTAATTCCTTCAATTTTTACTATGTAGTATAGTCCTTACTTACCTGTAGATTAAATATATTGTCCGTTTATTGAAAAAAAGTAAATTATATGCCATTTCATAACCTTACATCACAACGAACTTTTAAAATTTTCTCTTTAGTAGCTTAAAAAAACTGTTGTTATAACTAACTACATTTGATATATGAAAGGGTTTGTGTCCTTTTAGTTGAAATACTGTTATATTTTTTTTTGTCAACAAATAAGGTCGA